CTAAGGAAAAAATGCCTGTTTTTCGGATCTCTCCTGAATTCGACACCTCGCTTCGACACGCCCATTTCTTGGGTCCAGAAGTTTCTGTTCTTATCTTATTGGCGGGAACCTGAATGTCGGGAAGCTTTGGCACAACTATGCCATGTTAATAATTACTTAATTGACTGAACTTACATTTATATAAATAATTATGTGACTAACTGGACTTAGGAGTAACCCTAGCCTTCCTCTAGTGACTCCGTGTAGCAATACGGTACGGATTAGTCAATCTCATTTAATCTATTCTTATAGCTTGGAAAATCCGCCTAAAAAAACAGCTATTTGATCTATTATTATTTTTCTAACAACTTCTAACAACTTATTCTTGGAATTCCTACGTTCTTTGGAATGCATTTCACGAGTTATTTGAAATATCGATTTTTCTCTTTACCTTGTTAAAAAATATTGCTAAATTTCTCCGAAGGACGACGCTAAACCTACTTGAGAGCCCTTAACTTTCGACAAATTAGTGTTGACTGAAATATTTTACTTTTTGGCCCATTCGTTCCGAGAACTAATAAATAAATGACCACGCGTTCTGGCTTTTGTTACAGCGTTAGGTTTTGGATTTTCGATGATTTTAAATAACAGTTACAATAATCATTAGTTATTCTTGTTTTTGTTGAAAACAAAGTTTTTTGAAAACTAACAAAAGTAATAAAAGTTTTAGAGTTATTATCCCTCTATCTCTGTAAGGAGACATTTTGGGACAAAGGTTTATTTAACTATTTATTATTTTGTTTTGGCAAGTTGTTTGGGTTAATTTTTTATAGCTAATTATGTATCATCCTGTATATTTGTGCAACATTTTACATCAAATTTCACCAAAGGTAACCGACCCCTAACATGGATCACCGCGTACAACAAAAGTGCATTTACTGTCAGTAGTATTAATCGACATGTAGCAAGATACGGCCTAGTTCAACTTTTCTCCAGTTCAGATCCTCCACAGATAGTGTTTCTCCCTTTCAAGTCGATGACTCATGAATTGGGCCTTTTTATTTCAATTAAACCTTATTATACGCCGCCCCGCTTGAAAGCGATCGCAATGGTTGGTTCCTTTGTAACAGAATGAAGATATAATTTAAATTGAGTTAGCCGGGGCAATTTACAAATTAGACGGGAGCTATTGTGCGTTGGTTCGACCTTGCGGGACAAATCCAGTAGTCAGTCGGAACAGATCGCGCTGTTTTAGCTTTATGCTAACCGTGGCGGTATCGCCTCTGAAATTTTGCTTGGTGTCCTTTCTCCTTTCTCTGCCCCAGCCTCTGGTGGAGCCTATTATGCCACCTCTCTCTTGGTTGTCACACCATTCGTCGTTAAGAGGTCTAGGACCGTATCCCAAAATTTCAGGTCCTCTTACAGGTTATACAGTCTGTCTTAAGGAAAATTTTGGCTTTGGGAGGGAGATAGGAGGATGCCTATCATTTATAACAATTACTTTAAAAACTGTTTAATTTTGCACAGGGTGGTGAAATTTTGTTGTCGAATTTGCTTAACTTCGAACCGCCAGAACTTGATTTTTCTAAATGGAACATCCTAGATATTTAATTAAAATCTGTTGTACAATAATTTTATCCTCTATCTATCCATATTACACTTCCTTATACCTACCTATCTTATTTTTTTTTTGTTACTGACGTTATATCAGCTGTTAGAAAAATTGTCTGTGGGGTTAAATATATTTTGCATACCAAGCTTTCTGGTATGAAGGGTCATTGTTTGTTTGATAAAATTTTTTATGAAAAATAGTTTTTGCCTTTTTATTTAGGAGAAATGGTTAAAAACGAAGTTAAAAACCTCAAAAAAATATATAAGGTAACAACTGGATTTTGCATTTCGGAGATATAAACCCTATATATTTGTCGTTTTTTAGATTTCCGGGACTTCTCTCTTTTTTATGATTACAATGATACTTATATGTACATATGTAACACATATTTGCTTTGATGGTTTGCATAATATTGTCGTATACCTACCTATTTCTCGCTATTAAATTTACTAACACATCTTTAAACTCTCTGCCAAGAAAAAATATATTATACTTACAATTCAGTGTTTTTTAATACATTTATCCTGTTTTAGACAAAGGACCAGTTGGCATATACTAATTTTAGAATATATTCAGAAAGCCACCAAAATTCTGTACATTTAAGTATGCACCAGATAAATTAATATGATCTTATCAATAATTATAAAATACTTCAATTAATTTTTTTTTGTCGAAATACAAAAACAAGTCCATTTTCATTTTTTTGAGAGTTCAGTTAAATTTTCATCAACGAAAAGATTTTTTCGAACGAAAATTGGTAAATATGCTTAAATTGAAGGTATATTTTGTATCTCTCTTATATCTATAAGATTGTTTAATCAGAATGGTTGCTGAAAAGTTAATATTCAGAGACGGAAAATTTCTAACCTTTTAGTCATACATTAAGTACTACTTCGTTTTTATTTAAAAAACAAACAATTTCCACCACCGACCGTATCAAAATCCATCAAAAGAAAAAATAAACAGATCAACTTCTGATGCTGATCTAAACAGGGAGATAAGCACGCAACAATATTTACTGAAAGTAGGTATTTGTTCAAATGTGAAGTTTAGAGTCCCAATTTATCGCAACAATCACCCAGTTCCCAAAAGTAGGCTGAATTCAAAAATGTAAAAATCGAATACCTGTGGCGCAAATAAAAGAAAAGTTGAATGTCGTTTATGAATGTGAATCCTATTTTAGTGTACATAGGTATTTTGATCAGCGGTTTTCCGGTGTGTGAACAAAATAGGTGGGTACCTAGTTAAAATTTCTGGAAAACTAGAGGGACCAAATTTAAAAACTACAGCAAACTGCGGATTAACTACGCTCACTGAAACCTTGAATAAATTGTCGACATTCGTCCATAAAGATCACACCATTTTCAGTGGGACGATTTTTATTTAAATTGTATTAATAAAATTATTAATTAAACAACACAGCAGACTTTCACTAATTAGAACTTATTTATTAATATAATACGTATGTCCGATGTCACATGAATATTTATCTATACCATTAAGATAAACTTGTAAACACCAACCTAATTTGAGGTTAGGTAATTGCAGGTAAGGTTAATGCTACATTTTGAGGAAAATAGTGATTCCATTAAATAAAACTCACCTTTAAATTGATTTTTCAGGCTGTGTTTTATGTTACACTAATATTGTTTGCATCACTTTATCATCACCAAAATTCTAAGATACAAAAACGCACAAGCCACAAGCACGAAACGAAAAACGAAAACGAGTAAAACGACGCAACGACGGATATCGTACACCAGTCAACTGGTCTGATCTCGGTTTCGCTACCGGCCCCGGACTACTTTCAGTTTATTTCTAAAGTAGATTTTCATTGCAAAAATATCTAGTACCTACCATTTCTCTTTTTATTTTAAATTCACATATTTCTGTACCATCGTTAAATTGAGTAGGTAATTATGTATTAATTGTGAATTATAAAAAAAGCAAAAACCAAGGATTCTATAACTGCAAAAAAATAAATGTGTAGAATTGGGACTGGGAGCATACTTTTCTGTTTTCTGCGACACGACGGATTGAAAATTTAGGCATGGCCATGCGTCACTGAAATTAGCAGTTATTTTATTACTATAGTCATTTATTAATAACTTTATAATGGGAAGTTATAGGTACTTCATTACTAATTAGTTAAGGCCGTTAAGGGTAATATAGTGATAAAGTTGTATTATAATTAACAAATACGGAAACAGTTCAATTTAGAAAAAAATTGACATTTTTCAATTTTTTTTTATACCAACTTCGTTTCATTTCGGAAATTTAAATTTAGTAAAATTATATAAAAACTGCTAGGTATAATTTCAAAGACATATGTCAAAATGGACATGGAATCAATTACAATTTATTTGAGATATCTTGGAGATAAAAAAAATCACATTAAAACAAACCAAAATATAACTAGGAACCAAGATCGCACAAATGGTGAATGTTGTGAAAAGAGTGACCGCAAATTTTCAACCGTTTTTTCACAATTCGCAGAGAATTAAAAAAAAAATACTGAAATGAGAATAGCTTTTAGTATTTTGAAAATTTTAAAAATCACCCCTACATAGGGGTTGAAAAAATGCCAAAAATGAAGAATTTGAATATTACCAATTGATATAAAATCTATTAACATGTGAATTATCTTAATATATTTTTTTGGAATTTTTACAATTATTTCTGATATTCTCTATTTTTGGGGATGATTCCACCCCCTGAATACGCTTAAGGGTGGATTTTCTAATTCAACATGCTTATTTCAGTCATGAGAATAAATCTTTCTTTGTATCAAGAATCATTCGATAGAAAAATTCACATGCTAACAGTTTTTATATTTATTGGTAATATTCAATTTTTCATTTTGGGCATTTTTTCACCCCTAAATAGGGGATTTTTGAAAATTTTCAAAAAACTAAAAACTGTGCTCATCTTAATTCTATACAAGTAATTTGAGACCAAAAAAAGGACGATTTTTGCTGTCACTCCATCTCTAATAAACCAACATTCATCCGTAAAAAGGCACCTTAATTGTAAAATCCTGTTCTAGTGCCATTTGATGTCAAAACCACTGGCAAAATTCCACACGAAGCTGAAAATCATTATTTAATGCCTGAACCCTTTGTACGTGATAAGGGTTATGGATATGGCAGACGATAATTGTTCCCATAGGACACGGTACTGTTAGATACACTCACTTCTCGCCAGTAATACACCAACACAACGCACATGCACAAGATGCACAGGGTCACCTTACATTTATGGTAATTTTCAAAATGTTCTCAAAAATAAGCATTTAGACCATCAGTTGCTTAATAAAAGTTGCTTATTTTCGTGCCCTCCATCAAGGAACGCACTTATTTCCAGAAACACCCTGTATTGACAAAAGGGGACGGGAAAATAAAAACGCCACTTTGGTAACATGTATGACTTGTTTTTATTCACAGTTGTACACTAATCTAGAACGTAAAATTAGATTTTTACAATAACATCAAAACGTCAACTTCTACATCGAAGAAAAATTTCCATTCACCATTATATCTATAATAAAAATACTGAAAGCTGTATATAAGTGGGTGTATTGCTTCATACAACTTAGGGCAATGATATAATATGGAATGTTGGCTTTCCACTTTCACGACGAAAAAAAAATTACAGTCGAAACTAAAAAATAAAATGCGGTGCGCTAGCAATGTTAAAAATATCAACTTACGCGGTATTTTACATTTACAATATTGTCTTATTTCCAACTACTCGGAAAAATATACATATCAACGATTTCAGGGCTCGCCTATCAGGAAAATCAATTTACAAAATACAGAAATGACGGGGAAAATGAGGGATGCATGACCCGGGGCGTTCGTGGAACGCTCTCGTTAATAATATATTTACAAAATTGCACCAGAATGGGCTTAAAATTACAGAAAGGCTACGGTTAAAATACAAGTGGACATTCATAACAAACCTAATAAATTCTTAATAATAGAACTAGTGGCGGGAGTCCCTCGGGTAGAATTCCGCTAATATAGAAGCTGGGATACGTTTCAACATTTCTTTGGGGAAGATACGGAGCAACTGCCAGCCGACGTCTAACGACTCGAATACCGTACGGTTCTCGTAGTTACCCTGGGTGATGAAGTTCTTCTCGAACTTCGTCAGGAACTCTAAGTACAGGAGATCGTCGGGTGTCAGGGCCTCCTCTCCTACTACAGCCTTCATGGCCTGGACGTCCTTGCCGATAGCGTAGCAGGCGTACTAAAATGAAAACGAAAAAATTGCTTTGGGCTCATTCCTACATTTAACTGAAGCCTATGATTGCTTGTATCGCCAATTTTTGTTGTACAAATTAGAATAATATGTAATTTAGGGAAATGCACTTATAGTCCAAGCATTATAGAGAAATGCTTACAGAAATTATTACCTGGACAAAAAAAATATGACCGTATAGAAAATTAAATTTTAAATTGAGTTTCTTGTTCTTTAAACTCGATCCAAAATGGCGAACATGGTTAAAAAAAATCGCAAAGTTGCAAAAAGTTTTTTTTTAAATAACTAAAAAAATATAGCACTGATTGAAAAATTTTAAATGAGAAAGTTGTAGGTTTTAAAAAGATCTATCAACTGATTTTTTGTAAGTATCGATTGCTTTGTTACTTTTCGAGATACATTGAAAATTCGTTAAAAATTTTCTCTTTTCTTCTATAACTCGTTTACATTTACGTTCCCATATTTGCCATTTACTGCAAGCATAGCCCACGGCAAGCCAAAAAAGTAAATTTTTGAAAAATTTAAATATATTAATTATTTTCCGAGATATAAGTATCGAGTTTTTGAAAAAAAGGCGCTCTTGAAAATTGACTAGATCTTCTCAGCGGATAGCACTACAGTAACGATTTTCGGTTTATTTTCTTCGTAAAGAGTTACATTACCACGCTGTTAAAAAATGTTGACGATTTTATTAATTTTAAGGATCGAAAAATGACTGAAAAAGTTGCACTTTTTTTGGGTTTTCAAACTAAACATTTACGGGACTATTTTGCTTCTAAGGCAAAAATGACTATAATATTCGTGTTTAGCTACCCCAGATTAAGTATAAAAGAATTTTTGTATGTGGTCCAGAAGCCGAGATATCAAACATTTTGCAAGCACGAGCCATTTAGACTGCACGTCATCAGTTTTCAGAGCAAGCGCGCGCCGCTTCCTCCTACTTCTCTGTCCGCTCCAGCTGACGCACTCAACGCTTGCTTCAGTTTATTACTTAATTACTAATACTAAAAATCAAGTAAATATATCCTATTTTTTTTTNGACTAATAAGTCTCAATGCTGAACATGAATTTCCACCGAGGTCATGTGATATTACGCCGTGTGATTTCTTTTTGTGGCCTTACCTTAAAAACACTATTTTTGAACTGCCTATTCCTGATTTAAACCATCTGCAGGCTCGACTTATAGACAAGATTCGTGAAATTAACAATACCCCGAGCATCTTAGAAAATGTCTTTAATTCTTTGAGGAACAGGTGTGAAAAGTGCTTGGAACAAGGAGGGGGACACTTTCAGCAGCTGCTTTAATTTATTGTTATAACAAGGAGGGGGACACTTTCCGCAGCTCCTTTAATTGTTTGTTATTGTTATCACGATTATTCTTTAAAATAAAGTTATATAGTCATTAACGTTATTGAAACTGACAGCTGCTATACAGCTCGTTGAGAAATGAGGTTAAGTTGGTCGCTATAAGCTACGCCCTACGTCCAATGTGTCAGAGCCAACTTCGACCACAATTTTATTTGAACGCTCGTTATAACTCTTTACGAAGAAAATAAACCGAAAATTGTTACTGTAGGGCTATCCGCTGAGAAAATCTAGCCAATTTACGAGGGCGCCTTTTTTTCAAAAAATCAATATATCTCGAAAAATAATTAATATTTTTAAATTTTTCAAAAATGTACTTTTTTGGCTTGCTGCGGGCTATGCTTGCAGTAAATAGCAAATATGGGAACTTAAATGTAAACGAGTTATAGAAGAAGAGAAAAGAGAAGATTTTTAACGGATTTTTCGATATATCTCGAAAAGTAACAAAGCAATCGATACTTACAAAAAATCAGTCGATAGGTCTTTCTAAAATCTACAACTTTCTCATTTAAAATTTTTCAATCGGTGCTATATTTTTTAGTTATTTTAGAAAAACAGTTTTTTGCAACTTTGCGATTTTTTTTAACCATGTTCGCCATTTTGGATTGAGTTTAAAGAACAAGTAACTCAATTTAAAATTTAATTTTCTATACGATAATATTTTTTTTGTTCAGGTAATAATTTCTGCAAATTTAACATTAATCCGTGACAGAATGCTTGGACTATTAAGTGAATTAGGCCAGTCATTATAGCTTTTTTTCGGGAAAAAAATACTATTAGAAGTTTCTCTGGGAATATTGTTCGGAAACGTGTTATAAACAAAATATCAAAAAATCAACTCGAGACTAGTTGGGAAACTTTATTTAAACAATGGTCAAAGTTATGGAAAAGTGGTTGTTTAACTCGCGTAAAAAAACTGTTATTCATAGCGAAAAAAGGTTTATACAAAAAAGGTAGGTATTAAATAAACCTGTAAAATGAAACAAGTCCGATTAAATTCCACTAATTTGTTTATGCGCGAGAGCTCAAAAATTGTCGAAAATTGCCGTCTTTTCAGTTGCTAATAAATTAAAGCAATTTTCATCGCAGACACTTGTAATTCAAGATTTTTGAAGCTCTTTGCACCCTTAAGTGGTAAAAATTTCAGCCCGAAAGCTTAATTAGTTTGGCGTTGGCGGAATTTGTTATCTAAGATGCTGTTTTCAATTCATTTTTCCCAAGCTCACAGGCATTGTAGAGTTTCAATCATTAGTTGTTTTTGTACCTAAATAGTTGCATTGACATGCATTTACTGTGAATTTAATTTTTCAAATTTAATTTGTTTAAAAATGACTGAAAAAAATGTTAATATTTATTAAATTGTTTGTAAATTTCGGGTTGAAATAATGTTAATTTCATTAATAGCTTCAATGCTCATGAATTTTCGCGCTATCCCAAATTAAAAAAAGGATCATCTCGATACGTTTATAATTAACCGATATTGCACATTTTTCCAGCTTCGTCGATTTGAAGCCGCTCGATCAGTTTTCTGCAGCGCGGATGCGTCGCCTCGCTCTCCCCACTCGTTCGCTAGACTGAGTAATATAACTCATCGCTGCTATCTTTTTTTTGCAACTGAATGCCTACCTCTTTTGTATAAACCTTTTTTGCTATGAATAACAGTTTTTTTATGCGAGTCAAAAAAACACTTTTCCATAACTTTGACCATTGTTTAAATAAAGTTTCCCAACTAGTCTCAAGCTGATTTTTTGATATTTTGTTTATAACACGTTTTCGAACAATATTCCACAGAAAAACTTCTAATAGTATTTTTTCTCCGAAACAGTCTGTTTCATATAATGACTGGACGAAATAGAAACTTGCCTTTCATCAGTGAAACTGGAGCAATTTTATTTGTTATACAGGGTGTACCTTTAAGTGGGAGTCACTACTTTTTTAGTTTGAGTTATAATTAGTTTGTTAAACTGGCCTATTGGAATTAGTCTGATAAGTTGTATCAGTGCACTCTCAACGTTGCCAGCTGTTACCTTTTTAAATCAACTGTTAGAGAGCGACGATAGAAAATAATTCAGTAAAATATATTTCTTTTGTATGGCTTACCAATTTTTTATTTTAAAAAGCTACATTTTGATATATCTTTTTATTGATTTTATTTGATTATCTGAATTTAGTAATTTCAACCAAAAATTGCTGCCATTTTTTCTCTCAGAATAATGTTATTTTATTCAAAAATTAGATATGATTTACAGACTGAAAAGAATGAAACTGATGTTTTTTCATAATATACAGGGTGATCCAGTTTCTGATATGGAAACTTCAGGGACCGATAGAGATTCAAAAAATAATATGACTCGGCTATATAAACTATATTCAAGAAATTCTTCGTTAAGGAAATACAAGATGGCACAGCTACTAATTAATTTGACAGATAAATTTATGTTGTCATATTTGCTCAATTGTTTTTCATAGATCACTTTGAAAACGCCGAGTCGTACAGAAAAATCCAGAGCTTTTTTCTTCCAAATTGAATGAAGAATCCAAAACTGATTTTTATATGAAAAAGCGGTGACGTACCAATTTTTTCTTTAGAAATACAGTAGAACTCCAATTATACAAACTCCAACTATCCGGATCACACCCGACTTCCTAATAAATTCGATTTTTTTTAAACAAATCTCAAACACTGTACTTCCTTCACAAAACATTTTTCGAATATAGTTTATATAGCAAACTCATATTATTTTCTGAATCTCTATCGGTCCCCGAAGTTTCCTCATTGAAAACTGGATCACCCTGTATTTCAGCACATGTTTATTTTTCTAATAAAATATGGTGGTCACTTTTTATATGAAATTTTCTTTTTTTGTTTTTAATAAAATAATATTTAATAAAAATATTTTTTAATTAAAATAAGGAATTTAAAATTTATCGTATTTATCATCAAAAATACACAATTTTAAGAAGAAATCATTGAGAAATGATTTACATATTGGGAATTTTTTTTAGCAAAACTGCATTGTGTAAGTATTACTGAACAATTATAAAAACAATGTTTTGAATAAGAATTTAAAAAGCCAATTGCCAATTTACGACTTAGAAAACAGAGATCTGAATTTTTTACTGTTCACCAATAAACGTTTAGCATGTGCCTTATCAGAAATAACTGCAGAATAAATTACAAGGATTACATAATCAGACTGTGAATAATTTCAAGGTCGCATTTAACAGCTTAATATTTTCCAGTCATATGACGGGCACAAATTGATTCGTGAAATTAACTAGAACCGGCAATAAAATGTTTCAAGTCAGATCAGAAACTGCTAGGAAAAAATTATGTACGTAAACAAATATTTTAAATTGAATGATCAGTAAATAGAACAATTAGTTTTTAACTGTTGCAAGCATCAAAAAAAAATTATGGAAATGTCGTTTGTTTCGAATATTTTGAATTTTATTTCTATTAAAGTGGACTCCTGAACTTATTTACAATAATTTTATAAGAATTTAAAGCACTAATTTCTCTGTAATTTTTTCAAATGTAACTCCCAATCAACAATAAAATATAACCCTTCTGCAAACTTCCATTTAAACAATTGCACCATTTCTACTTCATAAGTACAGTCACGGACAAAAAAAGATTCCCCACAAAATCTCATCATTAAAAGCCACAAGCAACTCGGGCAGAGTTGAAACTTTTTATTGTCCACAGCTGTAGCTGATCAAAATTCCTGTTTCCCAAATTTTTAAGAAAATTCTTCAAATGAGAAAGCAGCAAAATCGAAGTTATATACAGAACAAAATATTCATAAAGCGTGTTATAAAACGAATCCTTACCAACTGATTAGAGACGTCGGAGTGGTCCTTCCTGGTCATCCCCTCGCCGATGGCGGATTTCATGAGACGGGACAGCGAGGGCAGCACGTTGATCGGCGGGTAGATCTGCCTGTTGTGCAGCTGACGGTCTACATAGATCTGTCCCTCGGTAATGTAACCAGTCAAATCGGGAATCGGATGGGTAATATCGTCGTTGGGCATAGTCAAAATAGGGATCTGAGTGATGGAACCGTTACGGCCCTCCACACGGCCGGCACGCTCGTAAATCGTGGCCAAATCTGTGTACATGTAACCAGGGAAACCACGACGGCCAGGCACCTCCTCTCTAGCGGCCGACACCTGAGATTTAAATTAATGCATAAAGAAATGTAAATATTTTCATGGCGATAAACGATTATGAAATAAAATTTGCAAAGTTTGAACAGTTTTTCTCAACAACGTGTTATTATACAGGTGTGCGGAACCTAATACATCAAATGCTTCAAATGTAGTTTCTTTTGATGAAAATAAACAAATTTAAGATAGTTGTATCCCAAGTACAAAGTTCAAGTAGAAAACTTTCAAGCAAGTCTCATATTTGAGTGATGTAATTTCGACAACTGGCAAGGTCGTACAGAGCGCAGCTGTGTGAAAGAGAGATCGATTGTAACTTATATTTACGGGGCACAAAGTTAGGTTAGATTAGTGTTAGCATTACAATCGTTTGGTATAAAAAATTTTGCAATAATCATCCTTATTGTTTGATTTCATTAGTTCTTTTAAACGAAAAAGGTTTTAGTTCAAAATTTTGCAGAATGTCGGCGCACGAGCAAACTAACCTTTGTTCAATATGCGACAATACCGCATTTCATTTATGTGAATAATTATATGAAAAATTTAAAAGTTTGAGTAATAATATCTTTAATCCTAGCTGGTCAATCCTTTCCCGATTGTTACATATAACTTATTTCACACAAATTATGTAGCGACAGCAACGTTTTCATCATAACGATATTTTGCGAGGTGGTGCCATTACGCCTATGGTAAACATAGTCAACTTTGATCAAGCATAACTCAGAAACTATGTGGTAAAATGCGCTGAAATTTTGCAAAGATATCTGTCAGGCGCATAATTAACTATCCGCAATAATTTTTAAGATGCAAGCGCACCACAAGTGGCGAAGCGGTAAGTTTCAATACAAGGTAATTTTGATCTTGACGTTCGTATTTACACATTCATTTGAGCAAGATTAGTTTTTATTTGCCATTATTATTAGTAATTTTGTTATTGAACTGCGGTTATTTGACTTTAGTGTTATTTTATAGGTTTCAAATATTTCAAAAATAAATTTTAAGGTGAGCACTTACGTCTACCTTGTTTGTTTCTAGCATCACAATTTAATGTACAATTTTTAAGGTTATAACTATGAAGTGGAATATATTTCCTATTTAAATGCCAATGAAAACTCTCGTTGTATACAGGGTGTTTCATAATATATGCGCAGGACTTCAGGATGTGATAGCTCGTCCAAAAATTTGAAAAAAAGTTTGTATTAACTTACCCTCTAAAATGCACAATTTTCGAGATACAGGGTGTTGAAATTGTAAAAAAAAATTCGTTTTTTGCGAATATCTCCGGAACCGTTTATCGTACAGAAAACAGCTTTTGTAAGCATTTACTACTCATAATAAGCTATGTTCTGTGCGAGAAAAAATTTTTTTCAAAGTCATAATTGGTGAAGATTTTGAAGGGGAAGTGGGTGTTTTTCTCCCCAACTTCTACGCCACTGGAAAAAGTACGGTTTTGAGACGCCCATTTGAACCGCCAATGTTTTCTACACAAAAAAAGTACTCTTGGTCATAAGCTCTAAAGTTGACCGTTTTCGAGAAAAATCTACTTTTATGTTGAAAAACATGGTCAATTTTTTGAAATAAAATTTTTATTTTACTAAATGTATTATAATTTTTTTTATCAAGTAGGCTTTAAATTTTAAAACGAAAGCTACCTCCTGTCAAAATAACAATTAGTTTGTACCTGCGAAAAGTCAATTTGTATTACAAAAGTAAAAATGAATTACACAAACGCTGAAATGTGCGAAATGCATTACCTTTACGGAATGGCGAGCGGTAATTCGGCAGAAGCAAGGCGGTTGTATCAAGAAAGACATCGTGATCGCCAAGTACCACATCATAACTTGTTTCAACGCATTCACCAACGACTATGGGAAAATGGAAGTTTTAAAAAGAATACTGCTGATAATGGGCGGCCTATGGAAGCTGCAAATGCCCAAGTAGAAGAGGCTGTCCTCAACGAAATTGAAGAAAATCCGATCACAAGTACCAGAAAAATTGCTCACAACTTAAACATACCTCACTCGACGGTTTGGAGAATTTTGAAAAGACAACTTTTGTATCCCTACCATATCCAAAGAGTACAAGCCTTATTGCCAAGAGATTTTCCGCCAAGATTGGCTTTTTGTAGATGGATGCAAGACAAAATAGCTCAAAATCCTCAGTTTGGAGCCGAAGTTATGTTTACCGATGAAGCATCTTTCTCGAGAGATGGTATTTTCAATTTTCACAATAACCACATATGGGCTGAAGAAAATCCACATGAAATTGCAGAAGGCAATCATCAGCAACAATTTTCCGTGAATGTTTGGGCTGGCATCGTCGGTGATCATTTGATAGGCCCACATTTTTTACCGAACAGATTAAACGGTGCAGATTATCGACAATTTCTAGAAGAAGTACTGCCGGAACTGCTGGAAGATGTACCGCTTCAAGTAAGACAAAACATGTACTTTATGCATGATGGAGCTCCGGCCCACTTTAGTTTGGTTGCTCGCCAATACTTGGACGACGAATACCAAGACCGTTGGATCGGTCGAGGAGGTCCCCACCCTTGGCCCCCGCGATCTCCCGAACTTAATTGTTTAGATTTTTTCTTTTGGGGCCATCTCAAAACCCTAGTCTACGCTACTCCAGTTGAAAATGTTGATCAATTAAGAGAACGCATTGTTGCATCTTGCGACATAATTCGGAACACTCCGGAAATTTTCTTGCGTGTTAGACAGTCAATGCGTCGAAGAATTGCTGCGTGCATTGAAGCTAACGGAGGACATTTCCAACATTTAATTTAACTGTGTACGATTTTTTTTTTTTTAAATTTTGCAACTATGAAGTTAACGTTTGGTTTTGTTACTTGTTCTAACGATTAAATAAATTTTGTTTAATTAGTAAAAAAATTTTATTTCAAAAAATTGACCATGTTTTTCAACATAAAAGTAGATTTTTCTCGAAAACGGTCAACTTTAGAGCTTATGACCAAGAGTACTTTTTTTGTGTAGAAAACATTGGCGGTTCAAATGGGCGTCTCAAAACCGTACTTTTTCCAGTGGCGTAGAAGTTGGGGAGAAAAACACCCACTTCCCCTTCAAAATCTTCACCAATTATGACTTTGAAAAAAATTTTTTCTCGCACAGAACATAGCTTATTATGAGTAGTAAATGCTTACAAAAGCTGTTTTCTGTACGATAAACGGTTCCGGAGATATTCGCAAAAAACGAAATTTTTTTTACAATTTCAACACCCTGTATCTCGAAAATTGTGCATTTTAGAGGGTAAGTTAATACAAGCTTTTTTTCAAATTTTTGGACGAGCTATCACATCCTGAAGTCCTGCGCATATATTATGAAACACCCTGTATAGAAGGAGAGGCAGTTTTTAACACTGGTCAGTGCAGTGGTCGGTCATGTGGTACTATGTGAGAAAATTGGGCTGTGATTTAAATTTAGAAATTAATTCATTGTGTCTGCAAACTAGTGCTCTTACTAATATACTAATATTTTGAAAATTTTTTCAGTGGTTTGATGGAAACCTAATTCTGGATTTTTCTTGAATGAACTGCACAATAATAGTTCGACAATTTCTTCTTTTTATCCTAACTGCTGAAGTTTTCCTCACACTATTTTCTTAAAATAAAGGTGTTCAAAAACAAATACTAAACACAGTTTTAAATAAATACAAAACGAAATGTCGCACACACAAGGAATGTTTACCTTGTTTCGCTAGTATCACTTGTCACCGCCAGAGGGCGAGTTGTTAGCTACATTCGCAAATACTGAAAGTTTTGTAATTATTTCAAATAGTGTCCATTCAGGTGATAACAACTTCAAACATTTAACAAACAAAAAACTCGGCACCTAATCTCAACAATGTACTTTGGGATATAATAAAAAAAATTGTTTCAAATTTTGTTTACAATATGCTTACATATAATAACCCCAGTGAATCGAAAATAAGGCTAAATCAAATGTCCCAAAACCTAACTCAGATCATTCGAAGATAAATAACTATCGACCAATAGCACTCTTCCCGGCATTGGGCAATTTTAATAATAATAAACTTTTGACAGCACTGAAAAAAATGGAAATTTTTTTAACAACAAAAGGCCTCTAGTTTTGACTACTACTCTGACACGAAGTTTGAGCGTGATGTGATCTGTCAAATAGTTTGTTTTCGGTTCTTAATTTTGTTAGTTCATCTAAAGTGTACAGGTATTCCGCGATTTTTACCATGGATAATGTTATTGAACAAAGAATTTGCCTAAAATTTCATGCTACCAAGAGAATTTCGTGTGCCGAATTGTTGAAAATGTTGGGAAAGACACACGGTAATTCAGTTTTATCGAAAACTCAAGCGTACGAATGGTACAAAACATTCAAACATGAGTGGTTGATGAATTGCCACGTTTTGGTCGTCCTTCAACATCTTCAGCTGAAGAAAACATCGATAAAGTGAAGGAAATGGTGCTTGCAAACCGTGGTTATAGTTTGAGAGAGCTGGCATATGAGCTAAACATATCTCACGATTCAGTTCGCAGCAATTTAGTTGTTTTGGGTATGACACACGTCGCAGCACGGCTGGTTCCAAAAGAGCTAAAATTTCTTCAAAAAGAACATCACGAACATGTTGCTTAGTACTGGCAAAAACCGGAAAAAAGTAAAATTGGCTAACCAGGTTCCGTATTAACTGATAAATAGCCGAAGAGTGGTTTTGTCTGTCTGTATGTCGGAGGATGGTGGAATCGTTTTTCCACCGTGGCACTTAGGCTTTTATTAGGCCCCTTGTACACCCTCCTTCATTACTCGAGTACTTTTCTTCAAACCATCCTATTACTACACGGGTGGCTTGGTGGCAAAGTCTCGTACAATTTTTATGTATGACAGCATGGTCTTGAGTTACAGAGATTTATTGCTCTATTCTCATTACTATTTTTATCGGGAACCACACGCATGCGGAAGGCGTTGAGCAATCCAGACCTCTGGTAGGCTGCCACAGCCACGTCCCCGAGCCTGCCTTAGGTCACCCATCCAAATTCCAGCTTGAGTCCGTGATGCTGCCACAGCCACGTCCCCGAGCCTGCCTTAGGTCACCCATCCAAATTCCAGCCTGCGTCCGTGATGCTTAACTCGGCAGATCGGAATCCACCGGTCAAGAACCCAGCTAGGCGGTCCCCGGCGAAGAGTGGCTAAAACCGGTTATTCAAATAACCCAATAACCGGTTACTTGAATATGGGCAAAACCGGATATCTGAAAATCGGTGTTTTGAAAAACTGACGAGATATATGGTGATAAATCACAAATTCATCTATTTTAAATTTTAAAGTTAATGTTAAAAGTTAAAATCTTAAAACAGTTACACTTAATAAACCATGGTTGTATGTGGGTGATTATGTCCCTTAATAGTTCAACCTAATTTCTGTAGTTTCTTGACTATGTATGTACTATGTAGCCAATGTCAATAACTACATAACACTAAGACTATATTATAGTGTTATGTAGTTATTGGTTGTAAAGAAAGAATCCGATTATTCGGATGTTTGAATGAACACATTATCGAAAAATCAGTTATTTGAATAATCGAATTATAACCGACTATCCACAAAACCAATTTCAGTTGCCAGCACTAATGTTGCTGAAGACAAGCTTGAACGAGCTAATTCGGACTTTATATTCGTGTAACACTTCATAACGTGTGACAAGACATGGGTTTACGAGTTAGACATGTAAACGAGCCAACGAGTTTCAAAATGGCACTTTCCCAATAAGCCGAAACCGAAAACGCAACGTAAAATTATTTATATTAGTGTAACAAAATCCGGGACGCGTGGTAGTTTATTTGTTAGTTCTCGGAACGGATGGGTCAACTCAGTCAACAATTATTATTGAAAAGTTAACGGGATTTCAAGTAGGTTTAGCGATGCCATAACGTCGTTGAGAAACTGATGCCTCTTGTCACCGGGAGTAATAAATTTGCAAAGCCGTCCTTGGGGGAAGGCCTCATGAAATTTAGCAATGATTTCGAACAAATAGACTTAAATCGTCGGGGCCATGTGTTAGGCATCTGGTATCGACTAACTGCGTCGGCTTAGCTCATAGTGAAGGGAAAAATCGATATTTCTAATAACGCGCGAAATACATTCGAAAAGTTGTAGGAATTCCAAGATATTTAAATAAGTTAGAATGTTGTGAAGAAAATAAAAATAGATCAAATAGCTGGTTTTTAGGCGGATTTTCCAAGCTATAAGAATAGATTAAATGATATCGACTAATCCGTCCCGTGTTGCTATACGGAGTCACAAGAGGAAGGTGTAGGGTTACTTGTAAGTTCAGTTTAGTCACAAAATTATCAATACAATTGTAAATTCAGTCAATTAGATATTAACATGGCATAGATAAGCCATTCCAACCCCCGATATTCAGGGATCCCGCCAATAAGATAAAAACTGAAAATTCTGTACCCAAGAAATGGGCGTGTCGAAGAGAGGTGTCGAATTCAAGAAAGATCTCCAAAAAAAAAGGTGGTTTCTCCTTGGGTTCCACACTGGACAGTTTTCTTAATTTTCGAGTCCCGGGTTAATTTAATCATAGATAAATAAATAAATAACCTGTCAAGTTACAGTAGTGTATGCAGAATATTATTGCAAATTTACAAGTCCAAAGATAAATCATAAAAAACTTTTAAAATAGGACCTAAAAAAAATCACGCTCGCTTTTTGTTAGGTATTAGTGTCTTTTAGGCATTCATACAGCCCGATACAATTAAAATTTTTTTAAATATCTTGTTCAAGCTATGCCTGTCAACGTTTTTCTCATTTATGTTGCGATCACATCGTGAACTGATTTCCTACAAAAAGCATAAATAACTCGATTCTTACAGCTGCCATACTGGATATTTTTATTATGACCTAATTTCTATGTTCGACATGTGTAGTAGTGGGGAAAAAAATTAGGGAAAACCTTAATAAAATAAAGCGTGTTTTAGTATACATTCTAATGTCTCATGAATTAAAATATGTTGGACAATGAGGAAAAAAACGTGACCTAATTTTTTTTTTCAATCCAAGAAAAAAATATGTTGCAAACAAACGATTTTTAGGACTTACCTCACGCAAGGCCTCAGCATACGAAGACATATCAGTCAAAATGACCAAGACGTGTTTCTCACATTGGTAAGCCAAGAACTCGGCAGCCGTCAAGGCGAGTCGGGGGGTAATGATTCTCTCAATGGTGGGATCGTTGGCCAAGTTCAAGAACAGGCACACGTTCTCCATAGAGCCGTTCTCCTCGAAATCTTGCTTGAAGAACCGAGCGGTCTCCATGTTCACACCCATAGCGGCAAATACGATGGCGAAATTGTCTTCGTGATCGTCTAGGACGGACTTTCCAGGGATTTTGACAAGACCAGCTTGCCGACAAATCTGGGCAGCGATTTCATTGTGCGGTAAACCGGCGGCAGAGAAAATGGGAATTTTCTGACCACGAGCGATGGAATTCATCACATCGATGGCGGTTATACCGGTTTGGATCATCTCCTCTGGGTAGATACGGGCCCAAGGGTTGATGGGCTGACCGTCAATATCTAGGTAATCCTCGGCCAGAATTGGAGGACCTAAAATTAAGAGGAAGCTTCGATACTTCATTGTATAAACATTTTTCTAAATAATCCCCTTTTAAATTTTATCATTTTTATGATAACTAGTTATCTAAAATTTACTTGACTTCATTTTTATATCCAAAAATATTTGATAGACTCCAAATATTGTATAACAAATATATAATTCACACCCTAATTTACATTCATGTGACTGACCTATTTTTTCCTTTTATTGATTATATCACTACTAAGTTTATGTTTTTTTGCATAACTTCACTGAAACCCTAGAAGTTTAATTACAGTTTACCTTTATCAATGGGTTTTCCTGAACCATTAAAAACGCGTCCCAACATATCTTCTGAGACGGGAGTTCTAAGAATATCTCCCGTAAATTCACAAATTGTGTTTTTAGCATCAATTCCTGAGGTGCCTTCGAATACCTGTACAACAGCTTTTGATCCACCGACTTCCAATACTTGACCAGAACGAAGAGTGCCATCGGACAGCTTAAGCTGTACGATTTCATTAAATTTCGGGAATTTTACTTCTTCCAAAATGACCAGAGGTCCGTTTACTCCAGATACGGTTTTATAAGCTAGAAAACAAGTGGAGAATCTATTAATTTTCGACTGTTCTTGAGAGGAGTGGCTGTCATGGGATATGTCACATGACAATTTAAACAGCTGATTTTTAACATTTTCTATAAATTTCAACAGGAAACGTTTTTAACTCCCGCTAAAATTCCCTTCAAGTGATGTTTCTATTCATTTAAAATACTTAATATCAATAGATAGTAAATTTTGGTCATATGACCCGCTTCTTGGCCACCATTAGCTCAAAGACCCACCCAATTTTTTAGTGTTTTTTAAGGAAATATCTACCAAATAATTAAAACACAATGTAACAGGATACTTACTGAGTCTAGGTTGAGATATAAAATCTCGGGAAACTGCTAAAACATGCTCCCTGGACGCTTGTCGTGCGGATATAGTTTTGTTGTACGACATCTTTATCGATGTTGGACACACGTCTACCACTCAACAACGAAATTCAGTAACTGCAAAATTATTGGATTCACGTGTCATCACGTGACTGTATCGTTCCTTTATTATCTAAAAGATGGCGCGACATGTCCTAATTTTGAAAATATTTATTTTGTGTTTTTATTTAATATTTCTGGTAGACTTCAAAATTTCTTATATAATTGCAAAAAAATTACCAAATATTTCAGCCGCTGTATACTTTTTAATGACAAAAGTAGAAGAATATGAGTTTTCTAGGCAATTTTTAGCGAATGTGCTATATCTCCAAGATATATACTATTGGTTGTTGACACAGTTACTAGTTACTACTTATAACTAGGTACTCAAAGTGGAATAGTGTCAATTCTGTCATAGTGCCATTATTTCATTAACTTGCTGAAGAGTAACAGTAAAAGACGAAACGGCTAGTAAATGTCATCAACCGATTTTTTCACACAGTGCTTATCACAAAACATATAATATAGTGCTTATTACATTTTGGTCTTGATTTATTGTAACGTCATCTTCTAGTATAATACATAATTGTTGCAAATTATATATTATTCACTGTAGTGTAGGTCCATGTTAACACTGTATATTTTATTTCTTCTATAAATATTTCGGTAAGTATTCACTAATAGATTTTCTGCTAAATCAGTATTTGTCAAAAACAAACTGTATTCAAGTGTTCTATTCATTTAAGTTTCTTATAATTATAATCTCATATTGAGAAACATTGATGTTTTAATAACAGGAGAAATTAGTTCTTATTTTCTGTATTTTATTTCGTTTAATACATGATTCATTCTTATCTCAATGTTTCTTAATATGCATTGTCTTAAGGTGTAAAATATAATGAAATATTTAACCCTACCTTACAGATATCTACATAAAGTTAATTTCGATTAGGTCATGCTAATATTATATTATTAAGATATGTTATGATCACAGACTTCTAAGAGAAGTATGTGGTTATGATATATTATGTTATATTATATTAGATTACAATATCATTATGGTGGCCATAGTAAAGTTTTGACGTCACAGTAGGTTACTCCTCCGGTAATCCACTGAATGTTTTCCATGAATCTTAACAAAAATTCCCTGAACTACATACCGCTTTTGACAGATAGATGTCACACATACGTTGTAAAAAGAGACAGAGCCACGCACAAGAAATATGTAAAAAGAGACAAGACATAATTATATTTGAAGGAAAATACACTGGCATAGTTGAATGAACAGGATAAATTCACGTTTGATTAATTCAATTGGAGTGGTGGCGACTTGTACAGCGGGGTCTCTTTGATTTGTATTTTGGAAAGGGTTCGTCGAGGGTGTTTACATTTTTTTCTTCCTAAATTTTCCGTAGAACTAGGGATGGCGGCTTCTGTAAGAAGTGTTTCTCATAAATTTGGTGGTGCTTTGTCCTCATTAAAAACACTATCAACTCCAAGAAGTTATTTTACTTATACAAATGAACCTGCACAGCCGATAAAAGGCAAGGAACCGATATGGACTACCGCAGAGGAGGCATTCCGAGATTTAAAATCAGGTACATAACATAATTAATTTATGCTGAGTTGTCTGAAATTGCATTAATTCTTTACGTGTTTGGCTTGGTATTTAGGTAAATTAAATAACAGTGAGTAGAGTACAGAAAAATTATATTTTAATCTCAACACTAATATGTGTTGTTATTATTAAACTTTGGACATGTATCTACTACAATCAAGGACAATTTGTCTATCTGTAAGACAGTGTAATAAATATGTCATAAAGAAAATTAAAAGTGTCTTTATCTCGTATTAGTTAATCGAACATTACTTTTTCAAAGTTCTAACAAATAATACAAAAATATTGCACGTTTCATTTAATATTATGATAATATTAATATACAATATACATAATACATAAAAGCATTTCGTTCTAGTTATTTTGAAATTTTTTGTTCACTTTTAGTAGTGAAAAATTCATACCCAATGAACATTACGCATTACGTAAATACCTATCATCCTATCAATTATAAGAATGTAAGAAAAAGCTAAAGCTTGTTGTTGTACTTAGTTCCCACTGAAATACCTACATTTTAGTTTTTATCCTTCAGTATAGTTTTACAATAACTGTTAATCTTAATAGATAGGTACTTATGTTAAAGTTAAATAAAATATACATATTTTAAGAATAAACGAGCTTAGTTTAGTGCAGGAACTTATTCAACAGTTGTAAACATAGTAGAAAGATAATAATTAATCTTTATCACATGGCAAATTTAATTATTACGTGGTTAGGTAACCATTTTATACCTATTAAAAAATGAACTGTAACAGGTAATTCTAAGAAAAATATCCATCCATTGTTATTTATTTGAATCTCGATTTGAGTTTTTGTGAAGTACTTACTTAATTTTGCACAAACAGGGTGTGCCAATTTACATCAATTGTTCCAATAAATAAAAAAAACAAATGAAACTCAAATATTTTTTATGGAATAAACCTTAAAAAGGCACATATTTAGAAACTGCAACTTCCTCAAAATTGCAAATCCTAGTCTTTTTTTAGATGCCAATTTTTGAAGAATCATAGTGATTTTTTAATCCGAAATCTAATAGTTAACACGACTTCATTCGACAGCCCTTGGAATAAGTACCGCGATTTAAATTATTTAAAAAATCAGTTGTAACACTTATATAGGTATTCACTGATATTTGTGGTTGAAAATTTATTTGTAAGATGATCGCGCTCGTCATCACATTGAAATGAAATACATAACTTAATAGAGACGGAAGAATATTAATTAAAGCTTTCTTTATAGCAGGTTCAAAGAGCAAAGATTGTAGTTTAACATTGCTTTGCGATCTAAAAATTTTTATATGCTCGGTTTTTTGTTGTGGAATCCACATGGCATGAAATCACTTGTTACTTGAAGTGGATGCTTTATGTAACTTGGCTTACTGCGGTACAAATGCTATTCGTTTTTATCTGAGATAATAGGCTCATACGTAGACTCGTAATAATCTAAATACGTATTTATTTAATTTAACACCAGTTATTTTAGTATGATGGAATCCCTGCGTCTATTTCAGTGGCATAAAACATACATTTTTTAATATTGTTCTCGAATTTGCGATTTATTTGTTAATTTATAGCTGTTAGCATTCGAAAATCAATTATCACTATCGGTTTATGTTTATGTTATTATAATAGAAACAATTAAATTATTGAGTACCTTGTTTTAGATCAATTACTTTATGTATACAAATAATAATTAGGGTAAATATGTTTATTTACTCATTTCGTCGAGATAAGTGTGGCTCGTTTTTTTCGGTAAATATTTTCCTGAACTAGGTTCTCAAATAGATTTTATTATAAAATATATAATTATTTTGCCACAAATAATTGATAAACTACCGTTGAATTAAATTTTTATCATACATAACAAAGTTTAAATAATTTCTGTACTTTGTACTATAATAATTAATGCACACTTATTTTTATCAGTTGCGGTAATGTTTCTAGACTATAATTTTATTTCTTTATACATATCTAAATTCGCATATAATATTATATTTATTCTTGAAAATGTATTTTTCATTCGATTAGATTAGTTTGTCACCTACTCTACTTGGTTATTTCTTGGATGTTTTAATAAATTTTAAGATTTTTGTAGATATTCTATAGCTAGGTATATTAAAAGATAAAAAATATAACGTACTTAATATTTGTATGATTTTTTCGACAATATTATAATCATATGACCAAGTTATGTGGTGTGGTAAGATAATTGATAAAATTATTTATTTATCTGTGCCTTGCATCAAAAATCGATAACTGAATCGATTTTTAGGTCCGATTTTAATTGGGCTTTGTAATTTGAAGTTCAAGTTCAAGAAAACCAGCTCGGTATTTTTAAAATTTGGCATTTCCACACGGTATCGCGATTGGGAGGGAGGAATCTTATTTGTATTACGACATTCTGACGTCAGAAGCGGGATTTCGAACAAATAGTCGCTAAAAATATTCGTCTCGATTTCAAGGACTGATTTGTTTATGAAATTCGTGGAAGTGTAGAGATAAAAGCATGCAAAATTAAAATATGTTTTGCAGCAGGTATAGATGAATTACAAAAAAATGAATACTTCGTTTTATCTGAAATTTCGATATTATTTTCAAATGGTTGTCCGGAAATATAAAACGCAAATTCGTGGTTAAAACGTATAACACTTTTCTTAGCGTAACATAAACTTACTTTAGGTTTAATGAAATGCATCAAGTTGTCTTTGAAAAAAATGAGTCCCATGCAACGCAATCCATTTGTTTGCGGGTATGTACACACTATCCGCGTACAATAACATGTACATGTCTGTCTCTGATATGAAGCTTGGCATCGATCAATTTATTCGATACGTATCTAACGGCACCCTGCAGGCCTAGCGATGGCGTGCCGGTGAACGTGAAGTTTCCAATGTCTAGATACTTCACTAATTTAGAAGATTTTCAAATAGAACCATTGTTAACGGATTATCTTCATGCTGCTTTATCTTCATAAGGAGTCAGAATTGACAGAGTTTATTTGACCTTTTTGTGTTAACTTTTACCAAGGAACACCCTGTAGAAGTTTGGCAGTCGAATTAAGAGACACCCTGTATCTAGAAAACATGTAATATTTTTACCTTGTTTTGAAAGTGCATTTATTTGTAAGGTGCTTGAAATGCAAAGTTATAAAATACTCATTAATATGATAATAATATTCGTTGCGTTGTTTTCTATAATTGTTGTCTGTTATTGTTGATTTATGTATTTTTAACGAACTGTTAATATCCTAATCGTTTGAACTTCGCACTGTTGATTAAAAGTAGTATAGTTTTATACATACATACATATATATATATA